ACTATTCCCTAAATGGGCTTAGATCAGGGCTTTTCAACCAGTGGTACGGGTACCACCTGTGGTACATTGGCACCTGGCAGGTGGTATGCGGCCATCCTAGAAAAGTGGTAGCGGGGGAGGGGAATGAGCTGAACCAGTGGCAACACTGTACAAGCCTGAGCAAGAGATGGCTGGAGCTGCAGGGCTGTCAGGGCTCAGCGGAAGTGCCAGGATGAGCACTTCTTCGGGGTTGTCAGGCCTCAGTGGAAGCACCAGGATCAGCGCAAGGCTCCAGCTGGAGCTTGGCGCTGATCCTGGCGCTTCTGCTGAGCCCAGAAGAAACACTGATCAGCTGGAATTTATTTATTTATTTTATTTATCAAATTTATACCCCGCCCTTCTCCTAACGGACTCAGGGCGGCTTACAGCCAGTTAAAACAGATAACTAATACAATATGTTGCAGCATCTCCAGGGTCTGCTGGAATGTTGCAGCATCTCCAGGGTCTTGTGATTTACATTCAGATGTTTGGCAACTGATTCATATTTATGACGGTCACAGTGTCCCAGGGTCATGTGAAGTGACCAAAACCTGCTGCAACCACCCAGCAGACGGGGGGGGGATAAAAAACAAACACCCCCCACCCCACCCCTGCTGCCAATCCTCAACAGAAATGCTCACAACAATGAACACCTCAAATAGGAGGAAGAGCGTGGACGGGTGGGTAGACAGGTGTCTTGCTCGGCTGTGGCTTGGGGGGCATTTTTTTCAGTGCCATTGTAACTTCTAACAGTCATTAAGCGAACTGTTGTAAGTCGAGGACTACCTGCACTTTATCACTTTTTTCCTTTTTTTTTTTTTTTGGTCATCAAGTTTTTGATACCTTGCTAGGCGATTGGTGGTACTCGGATGTTGCTATATCCTAAAAGTGGTACAATGGGTGAAAAGGTTGAAAAGCCCTGGCTTAGATGACTGAACTACTTAGCTAGCATTTGGATATATTGTATAAAAATAGCCACAGAATTCACAGGGGTGGAAAAAGCATTGGTTAAATATGTTTTATAACAGTTTATGGGCCTTTAAGTCCCCAGTGCTTACATGCCATATTCAGCAGAGAATGTCTTTTCAAGTTTAATACTGACCTCCCTGTTATCTCTGTCAGCTTGAACCAGGATTCCCTTGAAACATGACTCAATGTAATGAACATAGTCATTGTACTGTAAAGACAAAAGGAGGAAAATTACATGCTGTGAAAGGATTTTTTTTAAAAGAACTCTGAAAGCATGAGCAGATTTTATACCAAATAAAGAAGATCCCTTTTAGCTACGAACTGTCATCCTCGCTTTGAGAGCAAAGAATACATTTTAAAATGCAAGATGCTACAAAACAATTTTCATTGCCTTTTGGGAAGCAAATCTAAGCATGGATATGTAGGACATAATTTAGTAATTTTCACTGATGTTTAAACAGTACATAGGGGAAAGAAAATGTAAATTAAGAAGCAAATAATCTTGGCTACATCTGCCTGCGTTTCTTTCCTTAATCTGTTTTTCAGTTGAATTGCATTTTCTAGTGTTTAGCTCCTTATTAGTCTCGCACTCTTCTTAATGCTGAATCAGGCAGCTTTGTTTGCTTCTGATAATGTTCTGGGTGCATCTTCTTCCCTTAAATGGTAATAGTCAACACAAGAAGGGTAAAATCCATAAGGAAATAAGGGAGACCTTTTTATCATAACAGCTCTTTGGCAGTGAAACTCATGATTCAGAGAGGCTTCCTTTCACTGAAAGAGCTCATGCAAAGGCTACATCAGGGGTAGTCAACCTTGGCTCTTTTATGACTCATGGACTTCAACTCCCAGAATTCCTGAGCCAGCACAGCTGGCTCAGGAATTCTGGGAGTTGAAGTCCACAAGTCATAAAAGAGCCAAGATTGACTACCCCTGGGCTACATGGACACCTGTCTGGAATGCCTTCATTTGGGTTCCCGCACCCAAAGTTCTAAGGGTCTCCCTTCCACTCTCTGAATGATCAGTCCAACCTTCCTTGCCTCAAAGATATATAATAAGAAATTGGTCCCGAGGATTGTTGGTGAAGATCAAGGAGGAAGAGGAGGGCAAAGGATGCTGCCTGAATTAGTCTGTCACCATGTTATTTCTCTTATTTTGGAAACATAGTCCACGGTGTTATTCTGCTTTTATCACAGCAACCTATGGCTGTTCTGTTTCTATACTGGAAAAATCAATACCTCTGATCAGGCATAGAAATGTAAACCAATCTGATAATAACAATGACCCACTTTAGATTTATTGCTACAGTCAGAATAGTTTGTTTGGCTCCTTTGTAGTAGAACAAGAGTATTCTTCATTCAGCTACTTTTCTCAGAATTGTTATGGATGCCCCAAATATAATGCCTGTCTCTTCAAAGACAGGTGACGATTCAGGGGAGGAGGATGCTTGATGTTTCTTTGTTATTGGGGGGTCAGAACTCAAGTCCCTATGGAAGAAGATACTTTAAGAAAAGAGACTTTATACTCCCAAGTTGAGGAATTTTAAAGAAATTGCTTGTCCAATTGTGCTTAAATTCTACAACTTGCTCTGAACTACCCCAAAGGCAAAATTATTTTGCCAGAGAACCTGGTGGTATTAACTTCCTGACCAAAAAATAAATAAATAAACCTACAGTTATGCTTGCAAACCTCAGTCTGAATTATCTGCAGGACTATATCCAGATCCAGTCTAATGCTCACTAAGGGTGCCCTTCTGAATGGGCTGGATTATCTGGGGTGATCACTTCCATTATTTCAAGACAGTTGAGTTAATGGCCATGGTGGGCGGGGTGATGGCGATTGTAATCCAGGACAAATCTCATGGGCACCATAGTGGAGAAAACTGTTGAGAGAGTCCTGTTTTATAGTGCAACAGCTCAAGACAGTGTGTCACAGTCCCAAAGGATTGGTTTCTGCTGCCCAGAACTGCTGTAAACAAGAGCATGAAAGAAGCCCAGTGCAGGGGCTAGATAGACAAAGATGGAAAGACTGCAGATCAACAAAGAAATGAACAGAAGGCTCAGAAAAAAAATCAAGAGAAACACAGAGATGACAAACAGGTTACATACAACCTATTGTACCTGCTGGGTTCTTTTATCTATTGATACAAGTGGTATCACTGTGCACCATTTTTAAAGTACATGACAGTTCTTTACCTCAAGTGGCTTAAAATCTAACATTCATGAAAGGAAACAGGAAAGGAGAAAAGGAGGCAAGCAGAGACACGGTTTCACCAAATATGATTATGCATTTGTTTCAGCTGCACAAGCTTCAGCTTAGTGACAGGCTAAATTATTGAGAGAGACCCGAAATTACTTCAGGGCTCCAAATCAGGCAGAGTGGAGAAACAAAGCATTGATTAGTGAGGCAAGTGCTGAGACAGCACAGTGGGGCTACCCAGGGGTATTTCCACATTTGCTCTACTAAATATCTCTCTTTCGTATCTCCATGAATTCATCTTTTAAGGATAATATGCCACTGCCAGGGTTGCCCCTTTTTATGGGATGGGGGGGGACAGGGGGTGATGTAAGGGCTCTCTTGCATTTTAATCTCATGAAATTACTCTTGAGAGTAAATATCCTGCCCAAAGCCTGTTCAGATTCTTAATCTCATAGCAAAAGCTATTTTTAAAAACTGTTGGATGACCAAAGCCAGATAAAATAATTCTATTTGAAACAAATACTGCAAGCTAAAGGGAGAATTTGGTTTCATCCCAGGGTTCTTTATATATTTAGCCAGAATTTTTTTTTTTTTTTTGCAATAATATGTGAAGCTAAACAATCAGGAAAACCACTTCTATAAAATGTAAAGCTATCCCCAAAAGATGTGTGCTTTTCTTTTCTTTTTTAATAAAATAGAAGGATCCATCCATGTCCACAAGATTTAGCAAAAAAAAGTCAAGGCGGTAACATTTCTCTCCCGTTTTATGTGTGAGATGTGTTGCAACATACAAAAACAAATAAGTGGCCCATCAAGCACACCATTGTGGCCACCATCCTTGTTTTGACTATGCCCTGCAAACACACCTGAGTTACAGTCTTTTGGAATGAGTAGTTATACTTTGAATACAGTATATCACATCTGATAGTCAAAGGGCTGATTGTCCAATCATTTGTAACCATTCAGTGCATATAGGCTTTATGAAAAGTAGACTTAATTGTTTGGAGGAACAATAGAGATTGCCAAGCAAAGTTTCTGAATAAATAAACTGAGCATCTAATGAAGATGATAATGTTGTGTTTGGCTTATATCCCGTCATTTTCCAGGAGTACCCAACAACCTTTTGGAAGTAAGTTGGAGTGAGATTGAATGACTGGTCCCAAGTCATCCAATGAATTTTCATAGCCGAGCATAGATTTGAATCTTAGTTTTCCCAGGTCACCATTTTAAATACATAACATCCCACACTGACCTACTGGTAATCATTCTAAAGGAAAAGAGAGCTTCAAGGAAAGAGATACTTACAGCAATAATATTGACAAAATCATTTTCTCCCAGTGTGTCCAATATAGTGACAACAGTGTGTTTAGCAATGGTAAGATGCAAACCCTTCATGCTTCCACTGATGTCCACCACAATCACAATATCTTTGGGTGATGTAGCTGCCTGGATATACCTTAAGACAGGTGTAGGATAGGAAAAGGAAGTCAGAAATATAAAGCAAACATATTAACGGAGACACAGTGGAGAATTTGGACCAATCACAGCACTCATGATCCTAAGCTGAAAGTTGCTCCTCCTTCCTATTCTTCTTTCTTATTAATGTAGATACAGTGAATTTTTAAGTTAAGAGACTGATTGGGCAGGAGGAAATGCCCATTAAATTCCAAATTAAGACAATCATAGCAATTTACCTTATTTGTATTATAGTATCAGTATATAAATGACATAAATCATGGAGCATGGCATAAAATGAGTATAACTTTAAGTATTTTGCTTGAATCACTTCAGTACAATGAACTTATCCTTTAAGGGTGGGGAAAAGGATATCTAAGTAAAAATTTGGACAATTGTACTTGTATTTTGTACAATAGGTCTTCTTCTGAATACAAATGCATAGATTTGTCCAGACTTTAGGATTTTTCTGGTTCTCAATGGTAAATTTATTTTGGAATGATTAGGGTTTAACTCATATGAGAAAAACAAAGACAATCTATAGAGTTAGTAACTAAAATAGGAGATTCATTTTCAATAGTTCTAGTCATGTCAAGATGTGGACACAGTTTACAGATGCCTTTTACAACATGAATGATTCTTCTGGATCACAATATTGGTGCACAAACAGTGGCTCCTTCTAATACCATCATCACACCTACTAAATCTCTTGATGTTTCACAAAAATTAAAAAATTAAGTGGATATGAGTTTTTATTCAGTTGTACAAAAAAGCCAAACAGTGGCTGAAAAACAATCATAAAAATTATTTTATGGAAATGCACTGAGCTGGTCTCCAGGAACTTTGGACATGACTCCCAGATATCCAAAGGTTGTTGCCAAAATAATATTTTTAATAAGACACAAAGGAAATTATTCAACACTTAACTGAAAAGTGATTATAATACGTACATATTTAAATATAAACATAATCAAGTCCAATTTGATAGTCCAATCCATTACTTTTGAGAGCATAATCCCTAGATTAATAGCCCCAAACTTAGAAGATTTAATTCTGGCAGTTTAGATTGATTTATAGAAGGTGGGTTCTCTATGGAAAGAAGCAGCAGCAGAATATTGGTATCTAGTGCTCAACGAGAGTGGATTTTTCATAAAGATAGTACTTGAGTTGCAACCATTTGTCTAGCCACTGTTTGAAGTTACAATGGCATTGAAAAAAGTGAGTTACAACCAGTCCTTGTACTTACAACTGCCACAACATTCACATGGACATGTGATCAACATTTTGGTGCTTGGCTGAAACAAGGTTTTAACCAGAATGCAGTATCTAGGGCAGGGGTAGGCAACGTTGGCTCTTTTATGACTCGTAGACTTCAACTCACAGATATGAAGTGCACGAGTCATAAAAGAGCTAAGGTTGCCTACTTCTGATCTAGGGTATCACTTAGATGACAATGAAAAAATGGAAAGGGTAATTGTCTTAATGCTTTTTTTTAAAAAAAGAAAGCTATTGTATTGTACAAAACAATTTTATATGTTCCAGTACAAAAAACCTGAATAGAAGAAGCTCATGGATGAACTGTGGAGACTGTGGTGCTCTCCGGTTGTTTGCTTGCAGACATTTATTACCCAGTGTACTGCACTGATGATGTTATCTAATTGGGTAATGAAATGTCTGCAAGCAAACAACCAAGCTCAGAGGGCATCAAGGACTCCACAGAATAAAGAAGGTCCACTAAAGCAAATACATGAACATTGGTTTCTTCCTTCTAAATCTCTCACCAGCCTCGATTTCTGCAGTCAAAGGAAAGGACTCCATTTTCATCTGGTATCCATTTTATTCCTGAAGAGATATCACAAGACATTTGCTAAAGATCTAGTTCACAGATTTTACAATGTAAATATCAGGATTTATCTGGTTTTTTAAGGTAGGCTACTTTTGAGAGATAGAATCTAATTAATGAACATTTTTTACTTTACGATTTTTAATCTTGCAATTACAGATAAAAACATAAAAGCCAATTTTAATTGTGATTTTACAGATGTTGACATTTTTGTCCTTAATAATCATATTATCAGGTAGGTGTGTATTAGAAAAATAAACCCATCAAACTCAGTAAAATCATGCCGATTCTCAGCTTCCTTTATTCAGGAAAAATGACTTTTGATTTATTCTACTTCTTAGGTAAAACCTAACATTTGGAAAAATGAAGACAGAACTAAGACCTGTCACCTGGATAAAGCCTGAAGAATCCTGTTGTGCTGCCAAAATACTGCCATGTGAGAGTTGGGTCTCGTTCAAAGTTCTCCACAAAAACAGCATCTAAGGCTTCTGACATGTAAATTCCATTCACAATGTCGGGGTCTGAGGGAAAAAGAATCAACTTTATTCAGTAAAAAAAAACCCACCTTTTGAAGAACGATAAGCATGATGGAATGATACTGAACTGTTTACAAATTAATTAACATCTATTCAAGCTTTTCCCTAAAGCAGCCATGTCAAACCCGTGGTGTCATGTGATGTCGCACAACGTATCGGAACTTTTTCCTGATTGCCGGCAATGGTATGGGTGCGGTTTCCTCGTGACGCATCTGGCCCATGGGCTGGCAGTTTGACACCCCTGCCCTAAAGCATCAACAGTTTAACATGTAGCATATGGAAATATAATATATTAACTATTGATCCATCTAACCAAGAGTTTTACTTTATTTGGGATAGTGAGCTATAGGCTCAAATTTGTTATTTTGGAGACGTTTGAAAGTGGGATGGAAAAGCTGTGTTGTATGTGTAATAAACTATATTAGGCTGGCACATCTATGACCAAGTTCAGAAATTTAAACAAGCAGGTGGGGTTATAGTGGGCTTCCTAATCTAAATCATCACCCCTCAAGATAAGTTGTGCAAATGAAGTACTTCTGTTTCAAAGTATTAAAAGTACCCGTATTCATTGAAAACTGTTAAAATAGGCACATTCTCTGCAAAACTGTCACCCTAGATTTGGAAAGAATCTGGCTATTTTAATATTTCAGAAAGACATGGCTCATTCATGCTAACACGTTTCCCAAAGCATCATTTCAAATTTTTTGTACAGACCTTTTGACTTGTTCTAAGTCTAATTTTACACCCAAGCAAACAGAAAATTGGCTGCCAATCTGCTTCCAAGTACAATTCAAGGTATAGGTGATCACCTTTAAAGCCCTTCATGGCATGGGTCCAGGTTACTTGAGGGACCATCTCACCCCACTGGGATTGGCCAGTTCCACTCATGCCACAGAGGAGGCCTGCTGTGGGCCCCGTAAGCCCGATTATTCTGGCTGGCGGGGTCCAGGAGGAGGGCCTTCTCTGTTGTTGCTCCTGCCCTCTGGAACATCTCCACACACACACACCCCGATGTGAGGTTGGTCCCAACCCTTCTATCCTTTTGTAAAGGCCTAAAGACCTGGCTCTGTCAGTTAGCCTGGGGCCCCAATGAGGGAACAGCACAGGGGAGGTGGTTGATCAATTAACACCTCCCCCCATTCCACCCTGCCCTCCCCTTGTGTCCTTAGATTTTAATCTTTGGTTTTAATTTTTTTATGTTTTAATGTAGATATATTTTTATGGCTGTAAGCCACCCATACGTACCTTATGGTAAGATGGGCGGCCAATAAATTTTATAAAATAAATAATAAAATAAAATAATAAAATAAAATATAATTCAATTGGGACACTACAATGACAGGCTTCCTAAGATTACATTAGCCCTGACCCTACCAACCTTTCATAAAAATTTCCTCATAAAGGAGCCCTAATTCTCCAGAGCTACCAGAAGTTTAGATAGCACCTAATATGTTATTGTTACTATTTATAAGATTTCTTGTTGTCAGCCATTATGGGTTTTTATGCTTTTGCAATTATGGGGTGGTGGTGATGGTGATAATATTGTTAATATGTTGTTAGCCACCTAGAGTCACATTTGCAAAATGGCACACGTATAAACTGAACAAACAAACAAATATTGGAATGAGGAAAAGAATAGCTCATTCTCCATTTCTGTGCTTAATTAATAATAAAACTATTATTAACTATTTGTTAATGTCTAAATATTATCCCCTTTTAACTTACAAAACATGCATTCTTCCCCTGAAGTTGCATCTTTAAAAATTCTGCATCCAATTCTAGCAACCAGCAATACTACATAGTATTGTATATACTTGCATGCACACAACATACATATGTATGATTGCAGTCCACTTCTTTATCTTTATTTATGTCATGACATGTGCATTGAGCATTGGCTGTCACTTTCATGCCAATTTTACAATAAAACTATAGAAAAAGAGAGAGACAAACCTTTGTTATAGACATTGGTTGGAAGCTGTATATTACTGGATGTTGTGTTCACTGGCAAATTATTGAAATGCTCATTTGGCTCCAGAATGAATTCATTCCCGAGTGACACATAATTACCTTTTTCATCCTTTTCATTAATCAAAACAGCATTGTAATAATCAAACTGGAAGTGAAGAAAAATAGAAAAATGAACGAATACATAATTTTCAACAGTTAAAATTCATGCTGATCCTTACCTTTTGATTTGAAATGAGTGCTAAGATTCTGTTAAAATCAAGACTGCTTGGTGAAAATAATTTCATCTCCAAATACAAGTGTTTGCATGGAGAAAGATCCCTAATAGATCAGGCCACAAAGACTTGTGACAAATTCAGTAAAAGAATGCTTCAATAACAAGAATAACAAGCAAATATGAGGTTTCGAAGGGTGCCCAAATTTAGTTAGATTATTCAGATTATTTTCTTGGACAAAGAAAACAAAGCAGTGTTAACCATTCTAATATACATAGGGCTTTTCCTGACTTTTCTCCTTTTGGAAACCGTGGAAAACATGCAGGAGGTTATATGAGTCTTTTTCCACTGAAACCATTGCAAGACTGCACTGCTATGATTGCCACCGTGGCTATTTTCAACCAATCCTTCCTCCAGTTCACACATAATGCTTCTCTCCAGCCTGCCCTCACTATAGTCTTGCAACTAAGTTAAGCCAGGAATCAGGAGATCATGACTGAAGAACCCATGTTTCTCCATCCTAAACAGCCAGAGGTAACGCAGAGATGCCAGGGATGGGCCAGGATGAAGGCATAGAAGGAAAGCTCACTTTGGCTTTCACCCCATTGCTTCATGAGAAATCGGCAGGTTGGCAGATGGAAGAGAGAAGTCTTGGCAGCTTAAGCCTGAAAGCTCAGGAGGAAACACTGTGGCAGGCCGGCCTCGTGAGCAGTAATTACAAAGAGTCCATTGGAGCTGGGCTGCTAATAAATTCAAATAAATAAATACAGTAGTGAATTCTGGGGGTAATGGAGAAGGAGCAATTTTCTCTGCCCCCTATGTTGAGCCTGGTTTCTTTAAGTTTAAAAAAAAAGAACAAGAGGTGGAAATGGCACAAGTGTCTTAACTTAGTTACTGGATTAATCCATTTTTAATGTACTGCATAGTACATTATGCATATTTTAATGTACGGCATTGTACAACGTGGCAGCATAAGCAGTTTGAGGTGCCTCTAAGGCAGACATGTCAAACACAAGGCCCGGGGGCCGGATGCAGCCCGCAAAGTGGTTTCATGTGGCCCGCGAAGCCATCCTGGAAACAGTGAGGGAACGGCCCCCACTGCCTTGGCCCTGGCCCAGGCCAGCCGGGAGCCAATGTACAATTTTGTGGTGGCCATCTATGCTGAAACGCATTTAGTCTTAGCTCCACAAGGCCGTCTGGAAACAGTGAGGAACCAGCCCCTGCCATGTCAGCCCCGCTCCCTGGGTGCATGCTGGGGAGGTGTCACCCTTTGTGAGGAATGAAGAAATGCACCATCGCCTGGAAGTGGCCAGCAAATGGCCCTCACCTACTTCATATATCTGGCGGAGGGGTTTCAGCAGGCATTGAGGCTCCTCCAGTGGACCATGCCTTGGCACTTGCCCCGGTCCCACCCCCTTCTGCCAGAGACCCTCAGATCTGTCCCACTCCTGCCTAGGCCCCCACAGGCACCCTTGATGCGAACGATATAGAGCTGGCCATGCCCACCCAATAGGGCACACCCACTCCATCCACACCCACACAGTAGGCCACACCCACCCTGGCCACACCCACCCGGCCCCCCGAGGGCAACCACAATGCTGATGCGGCCCTCAATGAAATTGAGTTTGACACCCCTGCTCTAAGGTAAGCTGCACTGGGTGCCAGTTTGCTTCCACATCCAATTCAAGGGGTTGGTTATTACCTTTAAAACCCTTCACCACAAGGAATCAGGTTACCTACCCAAGGAACCATCTTGTTCCTATTTTAGTCAGGCAGCAAAGTTATGTTGTGCACCTGTCAGCTAAAGAGTTATGATGGGTGGAGTCTCCAAAGAGAACTTTTTGTTTTTTAACTTTGCTTTTAAGTATGGATTTTATATAATTTTATCATTTTATTTGTAAACTGCTCAGAGTCACAGAAGTGTGATGGATGGTGAAGATGTTTGATAAATAAACCAAATGGAATGCCTTCAAACAACTGGCTAAGACATGTAGCATTACAATATTCTACATCTATTCTTAGTCAACCCCAGTTGGCAGTGGTCAACTAACTTGGTTAAATGTGTTGTGTGTAACACAATCAAAGAGAATTCAGTGTAGCCATGTAAAGCAAGAGGAACCTGAGATCCAGCTCACTGGGGCAAAAATCATTGGGTAAACTTTACAAATGAACAGAGATTTTAGCCTTATATGTTCACCTTGCATTTTAACTGAATATTTGTGCTGAATAGTTTTAGACTTCTGTGTTTAGGAATGAATCATATTCTAAAAGGGGGGTGGGGGTCCCACTATTTGAACTTTGTGCTCTTTTCTTCTTCACATTCGTTAAAAATGTTCCAATTTGATTTAGTTCAATATATTTCACTTTCAGTAACTAGATTTATATTATGGGTAGAACCTGTATGTTTGCAAATCCCCCGTGAGATTAAAGTTAGCAGAGTCAAGCAAGAGCAGTGTTTCCAAGATTAGCACGACCTATTCATGAATATATTTGCATAACATTGTGTGTATATAAAAAAAGTTTATCACATTTATGGCATCCATTTGATGTTTTATGTTCTCTCCATATTGCATGGAAACATCATTGGTTTGACTCAGAAAAATACCATAATGCTTTCATTCATACTTAACCGCCTCTGCCACTGTGGTCAGTTTTAATAGCATTAATTTTAATTTTAATACCATTTTAAAAACATCAATACTCTGCAATGGTTATCACTACAGGCTACAGATATGGCTTTAGATAAGTTCACAGTCAAAGTCAGATTACACAGAGAAAAGAAATTAGTTTACATATACTTACTCAGTTCCTCAGCAATTCTAATTTTAGGCAATGACTGATCAGCTTAAATGGGCTGATACACATCACAGACAAGCTGTCAACTTTGTTCCCAAACATAAATCAATATCAGCCAAAGAATCAGAAGAATGCAACAGCTGGCCCTACCAAGGATGTAAATTTAATATGGCAGAGAGCATAGATGTCTTTGAAAAGCCAGTGGCCAAGAGTGATGGACCTGTGACCCTCCAGATGTTGAGAGACTACATCCTCCTGTACCACCAGCCTTAATGCTGGCCCCAACCAAAGTTGTCATCCTTTAATACAGGGGTCTTCAAACGTGGCCCTTTTATGACTTGTGGACTTCAACTCCCAGAATTCCTCAGCCAGCGTGCCTGGCTGAGGAATTTTGGGAGTTGAAGTCCACAAGTCATAAAAGGGCCACGTTTGAAGACCCCTGCTTTAATATTTAGAGGACTACAGCTTCCCCACCTTGCCATAATTAGTTGGATGCCTTTGTTGGAGACAGGTTACCAATTGTCCAGCAAGAGTTCTACATGACACATAATTTGACTTTACAACAGATTATCTGAACTTAAATGATATCATATATCTTTTACCTGTAATGAGGAGTTGTATTCATGATAAACATCAGCATCTTCTGCAGCTTCAACTAACCGCTATAAGAAAGAAAGAAAAAGGGAAGTTAAGGGACCATAAATGGAAGCAACAATAAAAGCAGCACATCTACGAGTGTATATGTGTGTTTGCAAAAAATTCAAGATGGCAACTACAACCATGCTGTCAAAGTCCCAAATCCTTTTTTACACACAATGCACACTAAAACAGGGCATGGTTCCAATTGTACTTTAATGGTTTCCATCTTTGACTTTGTTCTTTCCCTGCAGATGATCCTGGCCCAATCCGTAAAGCTACTCTTTGCTTATTAGAGAAATTAACCATTATCTTGCAGTGACCTATAAGGGTGGGATATTGGGGGGGGGGAGAAGAATGCATACAATAAAAATGAAAATATCATTTTTTCCAAGTGTATCATTTTCCTGGTCTTAATGCCATGTTGGATTGCCAGTAAAGGAGACCATTGCTAAGCATCATGGCATGTCTATGTGAAGTAGAGACTAGTAGCTAAAGCCATTCCTTTGAACTTTGTTCCTTCTTTTATTTTTTATCTTAATTATTAGTTTATGTTAGATATTTTAGTTTTTTTAGTGGGGAAAAATTTAATTGTTATTTAAAAAAAAATGCAAAGGATGCTAACATTCCTGTCTTGTGATGAAGGCATTTGTACCTATTGAAATTGTAGCTTTAAGACCAAAATGAAAGACAGAATATACTACATACTACATTACATGGTTTGGGGGGGAAAGGGAATCTATGAATCACTGGAACATAGAAAGCTGCCTTATAGCCCATCAAATGGACATTTCATTTAATGCAATATTATTTTTTCTGACTGGCACTAAATGGGTAGGAGGTTGTAGTGTGTGCGTGTTTGTATGTGTATGTCTCTCTGTGTGTATTTATATGTATATATTACACACACATACACACATATATACTGTGTGTGTAAATATATACACACAATGTGTATATACATATATATGTGTGTATATGCTGTAACTCTGTGTGTGTGTGAGAGAGAGAGAGAGAGGGAGAAGGAGAGGGAGAGAGAGAACCTCTATCACTGAATTATTTCTTACCAAATCTAAACCTACACTTTATGTAGTGGTATACTATGCTATGTTTAGAAACCATTGTGCATTCTTTTTTCACATTTCTTTATTTTTCTTACTTCCGAGTAGATAAAAGTTGGGAGCCAAGTAGTCCTTACCTCAACAGCTTCTACTTTTCTATGTAGCATTCTTGCCATTTCTTTAGAGAATAACTTTACCAGCTCCAAGCCATCTACCTCTTTGATCTTTAGATTTGGTTCCACGTCTTTATACTTCTATCAAACAAACAGAAGGACAAACTCATAGCTGAGATTTTCAGTAACCACAATCTGGACTCTAGTGAACAATGATTTTAAAAGTGCTCATGCATCAAGTAAAAATGTATTCATAGACCTGAGATACAACGGTGACCTAAAACCACCACTAATTTTTTTTTCAGACTTCAGGATTTCAACTTCACCTCTTTTGGTTCCGAGAAAGCTTAGGAATTCATGCATGTCAGACCAACCATGGATTTGTCTGAGATCATCTGTTTTTATCAACAGTCACCAGGGAGCAAAGGATGGTACTCCAGTACTGTTTTACCCACCCTCGTATCCTCCCTCTTTGTTTTCAACTATTCCTTTCATTTCATATTTTCATGGTGAGAAGAGAGTCACTGTGCAAAAGGTCAGCAAAGCTGCTCCCCAGATCTACTGTGATCTATTGGGAAGGATGATGACAAGTTGCAAAGTGCCCTAACTTTGGAAGGGAAACCTAAGAGCTGGGAGCCTGGGGGAGTTCCCAAACTGGTAAATCACCCATGTCTGCCTCTGAGGAAATGTTGCAAAAGTATCTTCACAGCATTTTATTTAGAGCAGCAGCTGATGTGCAAGATATTCATCAGCTCAAGTTCTCCACAAATAACATGGCATAGCGGGGCAGAGTTATAAGCTCAGATAGCTGCAACACTGGTTTGTGGGAAAAGACATAATTAAAAGGAAAAAAAAATAGTGAGATGTATAGTCAAGGATTCTGTGTGTCCAATGCCTGTTTTACTCTTCTTTAGAGAAAGCAGTGAAGGATATGATGAGTAGCAAACACCTTAAGAATAAAGAAGGGACGAAGAGGTGAGACAAAAATAGAGATGAGCCTCCATTCCAATAGGCTGGATAGAAGCTGGTAGCATCACCCGGTGTGATTAGCAACATGCAGGTTTTGCAGGATTAAAGACAGTCTGTCTCTCCATCCATGCTGGTGCTAATAAAGAGAAATAAGGAGGAGGTGAAGCTGATGACAAAGGTTAGCTGATTGACACTGCCAAGCAGCAAAGTTAATGAGTGATAATTTAGCACTGATAACAATATACAGAGAGCCAGTTTTGTCTAGTGCAGCGGTTCTCAACCTATGGGTCGCGACCCCATTTGGGGTCGATCGACCATTTCACAGGGGTCGCCAAGCAAGGCTGTCCGCCATTTTTTTCCCCTTTTCCGGCGGGTGCCTTACCTCCCTTGAGCTGGGCCAGCTGGTGGTCGGCCTGCTCCATCTCTGCCGCTTGCCAGCTACGTCTCGGCCGGCGCAGGGGGCGGAACCACGCATGTGCGGCGCTCCCGAGCAGGGAAAGTCCTCGACTTACGACCGGTTGGGTAGTCCTCGACTTACGACCGGTTTAGTCCTCGACTTATGACCGGTTTAGTCCTCGACTTACGACCGGTTTAGTCCTCGACTTACGACCGGTTTAGTCCTCGACTTACGACCGGTTGGGGGTCGCGGCATTAAAAAGGTTGAGAACCACTGGTCTAGTGCTAAGGCACCAGTCTACAAATGGGGAGACTGTTGAGTTCTACTCCCATTTTAGGCATGACAGCCAGCTGGGTGACTTTGGTCCAGGCACTCTTTCTCAGCCCAAACCATCTCATGTGATTGTTGTTGTGAGGAAATGGGAACAGGAGGAATATGAGGTGTGCTTGCCATCTTGAGTTATTTTTTAAAAAATAATACATACAGAAAATAAATAAAAGGAAAATAAATAAAACAGGCAAAGGGCTGAGCAGAGTAGCAAGTTTACAATTCATATCCAAGCTCTCCTGTTTCCCCCCCCCCTCCCTTAAAGTCTGTAGATATGTCATGCCCACACAGCAGTTCAGCCTGCTAGTATTTCAAAGAGTTTAATCAGCAGAATGAGATGATCCCATCACAAAAATGCATGCTACGTGCCTGGCACTCTTGCGTTGTGCTTCTGTGCAGAAATATAAGCACAGATATGTACATTTCAAAAAGAAAGCACTACTAGCAATGATAAAACAGTGATAGCTGAGGGCAGAAAGTTTCTCAACAGGTATATTGATGAATGATAGCTAATATTTTGTCCCTCATGAGCAGTACAGATGGTTTTAAGTACAAAAAGGATGAATAAGACCGGCATAATTGGACATGCATAATTTGAAGTGTTCTTAATACAGTCTGTTCAGGATCAGGATGAAAGGAAATTGTTTCTTCTTGTTTGCAGAGAAATACACCTCTAATTAGCTAATGCTATGTAATCTCATAAAGGCACTTACTCTTCTCTTAATCAGAGTGCCTTCTTCAACCTTGAAAACACTTTCGTTGGTCAGAGAACTAATATGAACCGGATTCCAAAAATGGGAATCTCCTATCATAATACTATAAAATTTAGCTAGATTAACATTTGAAACATGGACTTTTTCCAGACAGAGAGTTCCTAATGCCTTAGGCCAAAGGCACTGTAAGCTAAACTAGTCTGTCTTTCCCTTTTTAAAATGGTACAACTGGTGGAAAAGAAATAAGAGCTACATATAGGGGAGGAAACCATCTGGACCACTTCAATCCTCATTCAACCTCAGTGGACAACATTGCCAGATTCTACTGTTAAAAAGATTTATATACTCTATTGGTAGTAACAGGTTTCACTTAGGCCATTACTCAAATTTGAAAGCTAGCAGACAGAGATTTAAGGACACAACTCTTTGATAGTCTAGTTTTATTATAGATACTTAGAACAGAAAACCAAAGCCGTAAGCCAAATGACACATGAACCCAGTTCAACTTTTAGTTCTCTTTTTCTTGCTTGTGCAACTCAATGGACTGCCCATTTCTCGAGGATGGGGGCTATTGACATCTCTACAGTGTTATTTATTTATGAAATTTATTTGCTGCCCATCTTGTATCCAACAACTCAGAGCAGTTTATTGGTCTCAGATTCTCGGATTCTTTGCATCTAGCCTCGGTCCTTATAGCCCTGCCAGTTATCATGCTCCCTCTTGTTTATTTTTTTTCCAAAAATGAAAATTTTCAAGCATTATGTGCAATCTTTTCTTATATAGGGATGTAATAATTTCTGTACCTTTGATCTCTGGGGTTGCTCTTTTCCATGTCTTTCATGCTATACTTTCCCATATGGTGGTCAGAATTATGAATAACGTTGCAAAGTGGTTATATTGATTATTTTATCACTACCACCCTTCTTAATGAGATGGTACTACCAGCTTAGACTTCATTTGAGTACAAAGTTAGGATCCTTGCTAATTTTTCTACTCTTCTGGTTTAGAACCCCAGCTTGAGGATATGTTACACTGTATAGTTATATGAGATCAGCAGTCCCTAAAATTATTCAAGAAACTGTTAATTACTAGTTGAAAAACATGTGATTAAAGCTACCCTTCAGCAAAAGATTTATTATAATTAAATGAACTTCATCTGGAAGTGTTTGGTTGGAAGATGTTTCCCTGCAGGGAACCTGTTTTTCTTAACTTTAGTTTCATTAATCATGTTCTTATCATTAATCCATGCTCTCTGTTTCATATATGAGTGGAATAGAGACCGTTTAAATAAATCAAATAAATTGGTCTGCCACCATACTATTTTGGACACAAGACACATCTTAGTAACTCTCCAGTTAGTTACACGAAATGGGTAAAAATCAATTGCTTTAAAATGGAAAAAAAAATATCCTGGGCTCTCTGAGAAAACATATATGCTGGTACTGCAGCAAATGTCTTACTTATTTGTTGTTGTGATGTGATGACCATTGGGTATCAAGAAATGTGCAAAGGTGATGTAGTGTTATATATTACTTCCCCTGGGCCAGAGGTAGGCAACCTTGGCTCTTTTATGACTTGTGGACTTCAACTCCCAGAATTCGTGAGCCAGCCATGCTGAGGGGAAAGGGAGAGTTTCCAAGCTGAGCCATGCTGGCTCAGGAATTCTGGGAGTTGAAGTCCACGAGTCATAAAAGAGCCAAGGTTGCCTACCCCTGCCCTAGGCTACCTAAGTGGGGTGCTTCAAACTCATTATGAAATTTGGCAGCAAAGAGAGGGAGTGATTAGCTTAGAAAAGGAAGTTTGATGGGAACCATATTTCCAGTTAAAGTCACTTTCACCTTCAGGGTGAAGGAGACAAAGAAATTGAAAGGATTTCCTCAATCAATTTTTCAATCAATGCTCAGTCAGCATTGATTCAGATACACTGTCAAATTCAAGAAAGTTTTCTGCTGTTGTCTCTTGAATAGATTGTGTCAAAATGATTAATGTGCCTTGAAGGACTTCTGTACTTGTTAAAAAGTTTGAATGGAATGTTTTTATGATGATATGAACAAAAGTAGCAAAATCAAAGATCCAACACCTATAGCCCAGCAGCAGTAATGGTACCATAAAGGAGAGCCTGCTTCTTTCATGTTGCCAGAATTCACTGGGTAAGGCAAGGACCGGATAAATATTACAGCATGTCCACCCACATTACAATAGATATGGGCAGTGGTGGGATTCAAATATGTGAACAACAAGGGAGAGTTTCCAAGCTGAGCCATGCTGGCTCAGGAATTCTGGGAGTTGAAGTCCATGAGTCATAAAAGAGCCAAGGTTGCCTACCCTAGTCTAGAGTATAAAAGAGGCAAGAAGATATTCCCTTTTTAAACAAAATAATCCCATGGCAGGTTTTTAAGAAGTTTTAAAGTTGTAAGAGGAAATGACAGACACAAACAGACACAGAGCCTGCAGAAACATGTTTCTATGATATTTTAGAACAATTTCCATTCCCCCAAACTTCTTTTTAACAAAGCTTGTTAGTAAGGGTGCTACCAATAAATCTACTATTAACATAAAAAAGGGAGTCCCTCTGTTAGTTGTTGCCAACTCTAAGGGGCAGTGCTCATCTCCTTTTCAAGACGTTGAGCCAGCACTGTCCAAAGACATTTCTGCGGTCATGTGGCTAGCATGACATCAGGAAGTCCTGTTACCTTCCCACTGAAGTGGTACCTATTTATCTACTTGCATTTGCATGCTTTTGAACTGCAAAGTTAGGAGCTGCAGTGAAGATGGGAGTTCACCCCATCATGTGGTACTTGGGGCCTTGAACCTGGGCTGCCAGCTTTCTAACTATTAACAAAGCAAAATGGTAAATATAAAACAATGTTAAAAAATGTAGAGAATGCAAAGAAAGAATGTAAAAGTTTCTAGAGCATCCATTGCACAGATTAAGCATTATGTTTCGCATTCTAGTCCTCGTTAATTAATGCTGCACTTCCAAAGAATTAATTATTTTTATGTGACAACAGTGCGAAATGACATTGGATGCTTTGGATATTAATTTTCTGGCTGAGTATAAATTGAGTTTTGATCCACTTGTTATTCTCAGCCTTCCTAAAGGCTATTGGTCATAAAAATAGATCGATCCCATTACACTCTGTAGTTGCAGCTAAGAAAACCTTTCCTAAGAAATAAAAAATAATCATTGTTATTTCAGCCGTTCCATTCCTCTACTACATGTTCAAGACAGCTAATATACAAAACTAAGCAATTTTTTTAAAAAAGGTAATATTTCAGTTTTAAAAAGAGATGTATGATGAAATAAGATTTCTTTCTGTAGAGTATAATAATTAACTGATTTCATTTTAATGAAAAATGTTGTTGCTAGTAGAAGATTTTAACATCACATGGTAAGGTTTGGGTTTAAAAAATGATTTAAAACTCAGGCTGTCGGGGTTAAATTAATTCCTTCTTTGCTGAAGAAACATCTCTGTCTGAACCATGTGACAAAAAGCCCACAGAAACACACACACACACACACACACACACACACAAACACACACCACTAAAGGCCAGGATAATGATTCATCTGGTTTCAGTCAGTTGAAGACTAAAAATATATATATTGGAGCAATAGCAGCACATAACCAACATGATCATATTTTAATTTTTCCAGAACATAAGTCAAAGACTATATATACTAAATATATACAGCGCTCAACAGACGTTGTCAATACTTGATTAATGTGGGAAAAAAATCTTACATCAAATATAGACACTGTCTGCTGACTATACTTGATGTAAGATCCTTTTTTACATTAATTCTATGTATTCTGAGTTGTCTGGGCACCACATTACAAAAAAAATGTTGAGACTTTGGTAAAAGTGCCGAGAAGAGCAACTAATATGATTAAAGGCCTGGAGACTAAAACATATGAAGAACAGTTGCAGGAACTGGGTATGGCTAGTCTAGAGCAGGGCTTTTCAAACTTTTCAGCATATGGCAATATTCGAGTACCAGGTGGGCATGACCTGCTTGACGCCACTCACTGGGCACAGCTGACTCGAGACAGCTGGATTGGAATGGAACAAGTCACACTGACTAACTCGATGTGGGGACAACTCCTGATAAAATTAATCTTTATATATTCAGCCACAGCCTTCATATCTCATGCCTTTTCTTTTAATCTGAAAAGAAATTCATTTGCTAAACAAGCAATCTTTTGAACTGTCCACTATTTTGAATTTCCCATGCAAAGGTCAAGATTTATTTACTGGAAGTACAGAAATAATAAACTCCTTCCACATCAGATGCTCTGCTGGTAATGCCAATATTCTGAGTCTATTGATGAATATGGATTTCAGAAAGAACCCTAAGGATTCTGAAGAATGGATAAACATCCTGATAGTTCCATAATGAGTTTTCTTAAGAGAGAAAGAAAACATTTAGATTATATTCTATAATTTGGTAGTATTTACAAAAATATGCAGCATATGTTACTTACCTTCTGTAATAAGAGAGAACCAGAATATTTTGTGACAATATAATACAAATCTTCACCAAAGGAGTCAGCCCAGGACTTCACTCTATGCAAAGGGGGAAAAACACAACATAGTCATTAGTTATTTCCATGTCTCTTGGAGTATTCATGGGGTCATGATGGCAGCTACATCCTTGCAAGCAAAGCTCCATTCTTTTTTACATGAATTTTAAAAGCTAAGAAACTGGCTACAACCATGCAGTCAAAGCCCTGCTGCATGTAAAAATGGGGTGGGGGTTCTATTTTAAGGTTGTGGCCATCCTCTTGACCTCTTTGATACCCCTGCAGATACTTCTGGATGTCATTCACCCAATTAAGTAGGAATGAGCAATATGGGCATTCCAAAATTATAAGTTGTCAGCACCAGATGTTGAGAAACCACTCTAGTGAGACAAGCAATTTGGGAATGCTTCCTGATTGAATGTCTCATTGTCCCTCTGCCTACTTACTTGCCTCTGAGCCCAGTCTATAGATGGTGGCATTGTACAGGAGGAAAAGAGAAGTAACTGAAGCCTGCCATTCCTTTTCTTCTCTCTTATCCCTACTGAGCGGGACCATCAGGTGTTCTGCTGTTCAACAGTGGGGCAACAGTAGGCCTTGATAGGGCTGAGCCACATTGCATTGTACTTAGTCTCTGCAAGCTAGCAACTGAGGAGGACAAGAAGTTGTCTGAGTATACCAGTCACCATCCATCAACAAAGCTTTGCTACAATATAGTTGCAAACATTTATGAGAGCCCTAAATTGGTCTGTTTAATTAAGTTAGCATGGTGGCTATTATGTATGTGTTCTTCATCCCAGGGATGATAATTAGCTGGTACAATCTGGTTTGTGAGAGCTGACTAAAATTATTATAAACATTTCAACTAAACTCTTGCACATGTTTTAGCTTGTCCAGGTAGGACAGAAACGAAAGTCCAGATTAAACTGTTTGCACATGATTTACTGTGTGTGTGTGGGGGGTGAATTAATATCTTAGCTCTAATTGTACTGGGTATCCTGAGGCTTGAGCACCTAATGAAGAATATATCTTCTATTAATCCACATTAGTAGAACTTGGTGTGTACAACTGTGGTTTTATGGATAAAGATTTATTCTATATTTTATAGATACTTGTGCCTCTTTAATTCAATAGAACTCTGGACAGAAAATTACTACTTCAACTCAGCTCTAGACAGGGAAGCATGCAATGTGTTTAGAATTGCAGTTGGTGCCTCCATAAATATTAAAGCCTTTAACACTGTTTTAATTATCTGTGTACCATGTAAGGACAAACGTCCTCTCTAAACATTCCTGTTTTCACCATCTGCACTTAAGATGAACACCAAACTAGATTTTCTTTATGTTTTCAGTTTTCCCCAGGGACAATTTTTCTTTGTTAAACAATACCATTCAGCTCAAAGAAAATTATTCCATATCAGTCTCACAACCTAAAACCATTGAATTCCTCAAAAATTTTGCTCTAGTTTTAGTTAAATTACATTATTTAGAGCATGCTGTTGCTGTATTTGTGAAATCAAGAGAAAATTCAATCCTAATTGATATCTTAATGATTTAGTACTACATAATCCTGATCCAATTGGTTTTGTTGTGGTTTCCTATTTTTTTTAATCAATCTTTGTAAAAAAAAATAGCTCTTTTTAAAAAATACGTGCTGGTTCATAGTCACTAGGAACTACTTCAGTATTTTGCACTTTGAAGAGTTAATGAGTCAAATTACTGACAGAACCAGTTATGGTCTAATATAGATAATAACCCTGGTTCACACACATCCTTTCATCCCCAGCTTATGAATGAAACAATCTTATGTTGTCACCAAGCATACCAGTATAAAAATAGGATTTCTCCACTTAAGCTGACCTTATTCAAGATATGCATAATCTCTAACAGTTTGGCACCCTTTATCTTGCAGGCAAAGTCAGCTGCTCTGGGTGTGATTAGAGTGTGTTTTAAGAGTGTCAAGTGATGCAGGCATGCACGTCTCCCTGTGGTCTGTAGCCAGCCTCCATAGGAGCCATTTCTCCCCCAGTGCTTTCCTCACCATTATTTATTCATTCATATTGATCACACTCCTATTTTTGAAATTAGCTTCTCTTCTGGCTGATAATAACACAGGAAAGGAAAGGAAAGCAAGCTTTTATCTGATGAAGAAGGGACATCCCTGCACAATTCCACCTTAACTGTTATCTGAAAACAATCACTCTTCCACTATTTTATTAGGAAAGAAAGAAAGGGCAATTTAGCACTCTTTGGCTTTAAAAATACAGTGATCTGAAATGGCATCAATTTGTGTCTTCACCTCTTTTTCTATAAGATCACTCAACTTCATAAAGACTGTGGGCAGTGTGTAACATTAAAAGCAGTAAAATCAATAACGAAAGAAAAGGACAATGTATGTGCAGAAGGGAAAACATTCAAAGTAACATACAAAATCGCCTATGGAGGGCATCACCCATTCCTACCCAAGGCCTGAGGTTTTCAAAGACTTTTTAAATATCTTCAGAACAGAGACCATAAGGATTTTTTTTTTGGGGGGGTGACTCTGTTCCAGGTGTACTGCCTCACTTTCCCTCATTGCAATAACTTGAAGATAACAGATGTTGAATTGAACTTTTACTGCTTGTTTGCCAGTTTTCCTGTGTTGTTCAGTTTCAATCATCCTGAACTTAAAGACTGGTTGCTCAGCAGCTATATTTTCAAGTCATTTACTCTTCAGGACTTATCTAGCTACAAAGTTAGGGTAGGACCAATATTTCTCCTCTCTGGACTTCTTCTGTGGAAAGTAAGAAAGATGATCTTGATGAGGATAAAAAAAAAAGGCTGTTACAAAAGGAGCTAATACATTTTTAAGCCCAGAATGTCCAGATAACATTTAGAAGTGGCTCACATAGTTACATCCTAAGGAAGAGGAGGAGGAGGAGGAGGAGGATTTTGAATACATGGTACAAATACCAGCAGACTTGTAAGATTCTGTTATTTTAGACAATCTCAATAAAAGTAGTTTTAGCTTTCTTGTGGAGTTGATTTCCTAGTCGGGTCTATCTAGTGCAGGGGTAGGCAACCTTGGTTCTTTTATGACTCGTGGACTTCAACTCCCAGAATTTCTGAGCCAGCATGGCTGGCTCAGGAATTCTGAGAGTTGAAGTCCACGAGTCATAAAAGTCATAAAAGAGCCAAGGTTGCCTACCCCTGGTCTAGTGGGGCTAACATATTTCTACCCCAATATCTCCCCACATTTTCTTTATTTTACTTTGTTTTAACAGGGCAGCTACCTAAAGAGATGTGGGAGGAGGGGCAGACAAGCCATTCTATAGAAATCAGACACAGTCTGAAGTGAGACCCACTCTATTCTTGCTGTGATGCGCTGATTGATGGATGTGAAAACCTTGCCTATAATAACTGGTACATCCACCAATCAGGACGCACTTTTGAGCCATGACCTGGAGAAGGCATAGTAAAGGCATAGTAAAGGCAATATAAGAGCTGAGATGGGGGCAGCAATTTCATGCTGCCTCAAAAATAGAATAATTTTAATAATTTTAATAAGAAAAGAACCATTACTTTCCCCATTTCTTTCTGTTGTTACCAGCAGGACTCATGGATTTATACCAATTAGAATTCTAGTCTCAGTGGAGACATTTACAACACCCGTGTGAGCAGGAATAGAAAATTTAGGAAGCAACGGGACAGCTGTGCAGTTCCATTTGCTTGTCCAGGTTTTCACATTTTTCAGAGAAAAGGGTGGAGATATATAGTTTCAATAGGAGAAATCTACATCATGTGCTTTGTGTTACAGATTTGTAATCCTTGATATAACGGGTTGCTTGAATGCTTTGACTTGATTGAGATTAATGGCATAGTAGGATGCCGGCTAAAGGTTTCCAGGCATCATAAGATTTTTAATCTCTTGTTATTCTTAAAATTTATTCTTGGAAGCTATCCTTCAATTTTAATAAATCCCATAATACTTCACTTCTAATTGTTCCTGTCTTCCTTAAATATTCACTAGCACACATATGCAAAAAGAAAATACTGTATTATTTTTCTTACAAGATCAGTTTGACGTGTTCTGTAGGTTTCTGATCTAATTATCACGAGAAAAGGAAGTTGTATTTATTATTTTTCATCCATTTCAACTCCTTTTCAAATGCCCCCTCCCAGCAACCCCATTGATGTCATCATGCCCGTGTCCTGTGAGAGACCTGCATTTTTCAATTAATACTTGGAAGAGAGGCTGCTTAGACAAGTTAGCTCTTCCTATTTATCCTTGTAAGCTGTGAGATAACAAACTTCCAACAATAACACTAATCAGATAATTATTTCCCTCCTTTGTCATAGCAAGCACTCAGGACTTGCTAGACACTTAATCCCCATTAATATCTAACTTCCATTTGCTAATGCCTAAACCAAGCAACTCTGGGGGTAGAAGGGAGGAAAGAGAGATTTGAGGGCTATGAAACTTGCCCAGCAAAGCAAAATGGTTTGTGAGTGCAATTGCGGAGTGTGTCCTTGCCAGTCAGCTCAGCTCAGTGTGATCAATGGAGGATGGACCGCTGATGCTACCGATATAGGTCAGTGTTTTTCAACCTTGGCCATTTGAACATGTGAGGATTACAAGTGATCAAGGTTGGGAAACACTGCTATATGTTAATTAATGGGGACAATTTAAATAAACATGACACTGTTTGTTTTAGTTGCTGTATGTCTTTTAATGTCCTTCTGCTTTTGTTTCCATCCTGCAATTTCTAAATTAGTTGGCAGCACAGGAATTTCAGTTACCACTCTGCCAGTCCAAAGCCCTCAGAAAGTGCACAGAGGAAAAATGCAACTTCCAGGCCGCAAAAATTGCCTATCTTTGCACTAAGAATAGAGAGAATCAGAAAGTGAGCTGGAAGGATATAGATGTGGGAAGGATATGATCCTTTTTCTTCGTATTAGGCCATTAATTTTTGTGAACAATTATCTACTTATTTGAAAGAAAAAGAAACAGGCCTAAGTGTCATCAGACTGTTGGATGACAGGGCCCAGCTGCAGAGACAATGGAGGGCTGGGGGGAAGGGAAAGGAAAGGCTGACATATGTGGAATGACATCAAGATGAAATCAACGCTGCACTGTTGTGTGCTCAACTCTGCACCTTGTATATCTGTATGCACATTGCACCCAAGGATGAAGGGCAGAGTTTGCCTCACAACGGCACAATGCTGATTTCATCACGTCTTTCCACATGATTATGCTACAATCATTGTTGCAATTCCACATTTTCAGGATTTTTTTTGTTCTGAGAAATATGACTTTTGTTGCTATTGATCCAGTGAGCTAAGTGTGACGAGGCAACAAACTTACAGAATGCCCCTTCTTCCTCTTTTTTCTCCACAACAACAACCCTGTGAGGTGTGTTGGTTTGAGAGAGAATGAGTGGTCCAAAGCCCTATCCCGCTATAGTGATATCCATCCATATTTGAGTCTGCCAGAAATTATACTGCCAGACCATTTGCTGCCTCCATTGCTAGTCCTCATCCTGCTTCTGTTCCCAGTTGCTGCCACCAACTTCTCTCCAATGCAAACGGTAACAAATTCCAACATATTTCTGCACAATTTGAAGCAGTTTCTAAGAATACTTTAACGCTGGTACCACCATGGACAGCATAAGCCTGTATCACTCATGGGTTGGTGATAAGATGAAGAGGACTTCATGGTAACTTGTCAGAATGGAAGGAAGACAAGATGTCTGTTTGGGAGCTCTGTTATCAGAGGCTTCATGAGGAAGAAGCTGCATAAACAGATCCAAAGCCCAGGAGACAAATAAAGAGGAAAACAGAAAGATAGACAGCCCTAATGAGAAGAGGCAGCAGCTGAGAAAAGTGCTGAGAGAAAGGCATTTATTTCATTCCCTCAGACTGGTGTGAGGGAAAAGTTCTTTAAGTCATTGCCCTTACTTGAAGTAAAGATTCAGAAGAAGAAAAGAATCCAGCCAGGAAGAAACAAAGAGAAAAGAAGAAGAAAAAGTAAATGCTTCAACAGAACAGACATAGAAAGCATACACTCAAAAAGATGCAAAACCCTCATCAATTCCAGTGCTTTTGGTCTAGTAGCCTATCTCAAACTGATTATTGGTGGTTCAAAAATAGACCCCTGGCTATCAATTTGTGCTGTGGTTAGTTCTAAGCAGGGACATGGTTTTGCCTAAATACGCTTAAATCATGATTTGCCCAAAGTATGTATAACTTCTTCCCTGATTCATACCTAACATTTTAACACAACTTGTGACTACAGTATAGATTGAATGTGGGGGTCTATATGTGCTTCCCTTAATTCTCCTCACCTTACCAGACTTAATTCTCTTCCTGTGCTATTTTAGTGCAACATAGTTCAGCAATTCTATACAAGCCAGACAAATGTGCAGGGTTTTTTTTTTCTTGAGTTGGTCAAGCTTGCAACCTTCAAAATACAAACTGACAGAGAAACTTGTGCCAGCTGTTCTTCAATTAAAATGGTGGTTTTAATAAGATATGAATAATTATGAGTAAAATGTTTGCATCAACTCTAATGCCATTTTGAGATGGGGCAGGAAACAAGTCAAAAGAATTGAGAATGTACATATATGGAAGAAATCCTGATATAAAAAATGGAATTTATATTATACAACATGAAAGGCCTGGTTAGGAGATGGGGTATAAAATAGCAGCGTTGAGAGATTTTAAAGGGTGAAGAGCTAAACAGTATAAATAACAGAAACACATTAAAAAATGTAGGCCACTTACGTTTCAAATGGTATTTTCATCTGGGGCCTTGAGAAGGGTAGGAGGCAGCTGAATGAGAAAAAAAGCCACAGGAGCATCCTCTGTGTCCAAATTATCAGCAGCAAAATCAGTTGCGTAGACAGAATGTTTACCCCATTTCTTTCCTTTTAAGTTGTTCCTGGCTCCAAAAAACGAGTCTCTAATATCATGGTTTGCTGGGATGCAACTTGAATCAGGGTAGATGTAGAAACATCTAACCCTTCATGCTTTTATCCTTGTGTCTTTTCTCCTTCCTTTTTTCAGATGGGCAACAGCTTCCTGAGAGGACCACGAGAATCTTCTGGATTGGATTAGAATCTCAAGGAATACTCTGCTCCATAGCTATGAAGGGTATCAGAGAGAAGCTACTATCCATGCCCTGTAGGAATGGCAGACTAGAAGGGGAACTCCGTAAACAGCAAAAGCCACAGGATATACATAATCCACTGCCAGCCTTTTAATCCCCTCATATACCAGAAGCAGCTGCAGATTTAAGGAAGTGGGCTGAGATAAAATCAGCCAGGATTACTCTAATTTCTGGAGACACGATGCATCAATCTGTCCTTCCAGCACCCAGAACTAGCCAACTTTAAGTCTTTTTTTTTTTAAAAAAAAAAGCAGCATGGCATCAAAATTTCACAACTTTAAACAAACCTCCTGACTTTTGATCCCTCCAAAGAATCCTTAGCTCCCAATTTCATGGAAGGCTTTGTCTTGTGCTATCTACTATATTCCCTGCTCTGGTCTTTGAATCCAATTTATTTCTTGGCTTCTAATGTTTTCCCATCACCATGAAAATATGAAATATATTGAACCCCAAATCCTATTACCCAGGACAGTCTGATTAAAAGAGAGAATTTAGGTCAGGCACACAATAGTATTGATCATTATCCTGACATTTTGTATTATATTGTTTTCTGCTGCATTATTTTCTGTTTTGGGGTTCCCCCTCAGGAAAAAAAAACTGGTGGACTGTAAACTATGAAAACATTAATGCAAAAAGCATGAGAATTAGGCTGATATATTAAGTTTAATTAGTTTAAAAGCAGGAGGGAATTAGCACATGCAATGACCCTCTATCACAAGATTTGCAAAATTATTGGACATTCTGGTGATGCGTGAAAACAACCGATCTGTCACATAGGGTGGAAATGGGAACAAGATACTATCCTCAGATCTACCAACTCTGAGCTACAAAACTTTGAAGACAGCAGACATATGATAAACTGTAGCTCTTTGCTGCCATCCAATGTTCATCCAGATTGGTGCAGCCCACATCATATTTGCTGTCTCTTCAAAGACATTGACAATCCAGTAATATTTCTGTAAGATTCATTGTGCACTGTATTTGTGAGAGCGTTCAGAAGCTAGTCAAAAACTGAATGGAACTGACCAACTCACCTGCTCACACAGTACAAAAGGCTGGACCAAGCTTTTTCTGCTGAGATTGATGGCTGAGAGTCTCTGATCCTGAAAATATGAGGGCAGTGTCTAAAGAAAGTGGAATAGAGACTTACCAAGAATTATTTTGGATTTCACTTAGCAGAGAGAGTAGAGGGGGCCCAACTGCTTCCAGACATCATTTTTTTTGTTCCTGGAATTGTGTGTGATTACATTACTGAATATCAGTTTTCTATCATTCTATGGTCACTCAACTCACACACAAGTGATTTCAGGCCGCTTACAACCTTAAAATCCACAATATAAAAACCATAACTTTTCTTCTGTCCTTCCACGTTTCTCAGCATTACGGACTCATTTTTTTCACTGTGCTCCTTGATTTTTATTATTAGAGCTTGTACATCATTTGCATTTTCAGCTATCAGAGTAGTGTCATAAACATAGCACAGGTTCTTGATTATTTAAAACCACACTCATCTTCCAGTCCAGCTTCCCAGAAAAATATACTCAACATACAGGTTGAATAAATAATGAGAGAGCATACAGTGTTGTCTCATTTTGTTGCCAATGAGAAACAGCCTGTTTTGGCATGTTTCATCTAGACCAGGGGTAATCAACCTTGGCTCTTTTATGACTGGTGGACTTCAACTCCCAGAATTCCTGAGCCAGCTAAGCTAAGCTGGCTCAGGAATTCTGGGAATTGAAGTCCACGAGTCATAAAAGAGCCAAGGTTGACTACCCCTGGTCTAGACTGTGACTTCCTTTCCAAAGTACAGGTTTTGCACGAAGACAATAAGATGTTCTGGGATTACCATTTTCCTAAGAACATTCCACTACTTGACATGTCTGGCAGAATCAAAACCCTAATCAATGACTTACATTTTATCAATTTTACTATTTTATCTCTTACTTTGCCCCAAAAATAATAATTTAAAAATTCAGGGGGTGTTTTGGTGTATGCAAAAGTGGGGTGGGGTTGGGGACATATGCAGACTGGGAGCATTGTTACTCATCTAGGCTTAGCGTGATGTCTGAGCATTCTTTGTGCAGGGTTGCAATAGATTAATACACATGTTCTTCGACAAATTGTTATTCTGTTCCATCTCTTGGTGTGGCACACAAAAGACAGGATCCATTTTGCTTTCTTCCCTGTTTCTTCATGCAAGCTCATTTACTGTGAAAAGGAACACTGATTTTAAAAAATAGTGTGCACCATTGCCCTGCTTTGTACTTTGAAAAGTGTCTGAAAGGCTGAATGGAGAAGAAAGGGATCCCAGCAGGAGGCTGAGTTGGTGGGAAGCATCCAGGGAGGCAGGGATTCATCAGCTTGAAAGCCTCCTCATTTTGTGTCCTCATCAGTCTGTTGCAAGGGAGAAAGAAAAGTCATGTTAATGAGATGTGGGTACCAAATAAATGGAAAACCCATGCACAATGGAGAAAATACAAAAGGATTCAAAGTGGCCCTTTCTAAATATCTATGAATTATCTATCTGAATACTAATAACTATCCGAATAACAGCAGAGGTGTTTCTAAATGTAATCTTCCTGCTTGAAGTAACTCTTAAAGTTTCCTTCAAAAGGATCAGGGAGGCATATTTTTGCTCTAAACCAGTGGTTCCCAACCTTTTCTTCACCCCCTTTAAATACCTTTTGTGGCCATGGACCATTGCCACGGTCCTCCAAGGCTTAACTCAAGATTTAAACTCAAGCCTTCGTGTACCTCCTGTGACAACATTGCAGCCCTCCAGCACCACAGGTTGAGAACTACTTCCCTATTGTCCCAAGCAAGTAATTGCCAAATCTGATATTATTATTTTTTTGTTTTTTTAAACAAACATTGGAAATGTAATCTTTAAGGCCAGTCATCTACATATACATATCAGGAAAGCAGATTTGGCAATAGTTCTCTCGTGGACAAGATATTTCACAAAGGATATGGAATTCCTGTGTAAAATGATTGGGAAAGGACATGGGTGGAATAGAAGAGCAGCCAATTTTATGGCGTATGGACAGCAAAACACACAAGGTGACAATAGCTAGGTTCTGTTAATCTATGGTGTGATAGGATAAGCCACAACTGCTTAGATTTGCATAACCTCTTAAGTCATAATCACAGTACATAAATTAGAATGACTAGATTCCTAAACATACAGCTAAACAAACGGCTTTATGGCTTATGTGTTGGGTGTTTTATCTACTTGACCCAACAACTTGGGTCAAGTAGATGAAATAACCTCTTCTGCAGCTGCAATAGCAGCAGATTTAACACTGCAGAATACTCCTATGCAAAGATGTAACACATTGCTTGACAGAGGTAAACTGAAACACGTGGGGAAAATATTTGTTAACACTAATTAGAATTTCATCTCATCATCTCACTTCATCTCATCTCATCTCCTTTCATTTCAGTATTTCATGCCATGAGTGACATTTGCTGAAGAAATTACATGCTATGGTAAAAAACCTGCATTTGTAAATTTTCTGCCCTCACTGTCTTACGCTTGGAAGAAGCTATTATACTACCCCCGTGGTGGCAAACCTATGGCACGCGTGTGCCGTCACCCCAGTCCTAGGCCTTCAGCTGGGTTTTATAAAACCTTTTTGCTTTAGGCCTCCGCCACCATCTGCAAAAAAAAAAAAAAAAGGTTCAATCAATTTCTCGCGGGGAAAAAAAAGATCTTGCAAAGTTGGAATTGATTGATTGAACTTTTTAGTCCCACCCAGTCTGCCATTACCACCACAGCCATGCCCACCCAATGGGCCACACTCACCCAATGGGCCATGCCCACCCGGTACCCGACAGTACGTAAGTAGGTTTTGGGTTGCAGTTTGGGCACTTGCCATCACTGTACTACCCCATTCAGTTAACTAATGAAGGAATGCTCTAGGTACAAACTTTATCACCACCATCTTTTGCAGGCCAAGAAAACTTTTGCTATAGCTGCTCTGTCTCTATGGAATACACTTCTCCCTAAAATTTGTACAGCTCAAGGTTCCTGATTTTTATACAATGAAACCCACATCAGATCTACCACTTTCTGTGATCTCAACATTACACTCCTGTTGATGCAGATCAGGATTGCTTTGGCTCCTTTGACAGCTGCAACAAACTATAGGTTCATGCTTAATATGTGATCTACTAAGACACCCAGGTCCTTCTCCCAATCACTACTGCCAAGTCATTTTTAAAAAAAACACACATCAATTTAAAACTGTGGATTTTTTTGTTTTGTTTTCTCTTGTTTTGTCTCAAAGGAAATGTCATTTTATCATCAGCTCTTATCATATTCATTCTCTCTACATCAAGGTATTCACCAATCAACACATTTCTAAAGAACTGCCAGAATACTTCAATTTTTTTTATTCCCACTGATTTTATTTTTAATCAATTTACAAATAGGAATGCTTTTCTCCTAATTGGGTCTCAAGTCTGGAGAACAAAGTTAGTATAACTGGCTTGCTTCTTAACTCTTGTCCTTACTTTTTAGAATAACCTTAATTGCAAAACTTAAACCAGAGATTGGCAAACATTAACTGAAGCATAAATCAGTTTATGAATCAATGTTGGAGGCATAGATAAGTCTAAAGATAAAAGGGGATTCTAGTGTCTCCCTACAAACTCATCCAAATTAGAATATATAATTTATTTGACTTTGATTCATTGATTGGGGTTACATGATGTGCACTGTGTGTGCAGTAATAGTGTGTTAAGGGTGAGGTAATGGGATTCAAATAGAACGGTATCTTTAAGTTCAGAAAACCCATGTCTGAAACCACTACATATTCCTAGTTGTTATCTAGTTGCACATCAGGAGGTGGAGGTTAAAAAATGTATAGGTAGTCTTATCACCATACTGCAGCCCCCATTAGAGTTGCAAGTCATGAGGGTCATTAAGCGATGTGACCATGTGATCTCCTTGCTTAATGACCCCCACCCCTGCTCTCTCCCAGTGTGGTTGTTAAACATCTGTGTGGGTCGTTAAGTGGAGCACAAAGTGCCTCAAGGATGGGGGATGCCCTGGGAGGCCTAGCACAGGCCCAGCCTATCTGCCCCAGACCTCCCAATACCTCCTCACCCTGAGGCACCCCATGCTCTTTTAGGGTCCTCACAAGCTTTGGGGAGCAGTAAGAAAGAAATGTGTTCCATGCACAATAGCTACTTTGATGACAGCTTAACTTTTTTTTTTTTTAAAAGCCCATATGACAGATTGATGATAAGGCCAGAAAAAGTCACTTATCCAAGCAGATTGGTCTGAATGTAATGTATACTAAGAAATCGATGACAAGGGAGACTCAAAATGGCAACTTGTTGGAGATGAAGGAGAAATTGTTTCACATTTTTTCTATCCTGACTAGAAAAAAATCATTTATCATTATTATTAACTGTCAGAAACTTGGCAGAAGAGCCATTTTCTTTTGAGGAGCGATAAGGATGAACAAGAACACTTTAAAATCCTGAAGATTATACTTTTTTTCTGAAAATCATTCATAGCTTTACACAATAGTTAGTGATCAACGAGAGCAGCAACCTGAATTTTCAGGTTTTAATTAAACCTTAGTTCACTGAATAATCTTACTTTCTTTTTCTTTATATGTACTTTAAATTTCTGAACTTTTCTCTTTAATTCAGGAATTTAACAGTTTAGACTTTCATAATTCAAGAGGACAGCCTAATTGACTTCTCAAACGGACTCTGTAGACTTTTTCCTTTATTACTGATCAATTGTTTATTTATTTTTAACAGATTCAGAACTACAACCTTAAATAGTTACAAATTATATTTGGTCAACACTACAAGGATTTGTGAGCAGATAGTGTATCTTTGATCTGATTTGCTATTTTTCTTTTTTTCCTGAAAAACCCAGAGAAACTTGGATAGAAAAAACCCCTGAATATTTAATATAATTCTACAAATAAGTATCTTACCAATCTCAAAACAGTTTATTTTAAATATTATCCTATTTGTGTTATGAAAGCCGGCTGGGTGACTTTGAGTCAGTCACTCTCTCTGTCCAACTCACCTCACAGGGGTTAGGGTTAGGGTTAGGGTTAGGGAAGAAAATGTGTTGGATATGTTCGCTGCTTTGAATTATTTGTAAAAATAATAAAGTTGGGATGCAAATAAATACTGTATAAAAATAATAAATGTGGGGTAATCAATAATAAATTTTAGTTCATTGTCCCGGAACCAGCTTGGTTTAATTTGCATGTCATCTGTTAAATTTTCTTTTCTTATGAATGTATCAGATTTTTTTTGTAAACACAAGAGGGAGCTCTAATATAATGAATGTCTACTCAAGGTTTTCCACTTGTAAATGAAACTTTTAAGACATTTGAACTGGGCAAATCTAGACATGGTGGAATTTAAATTGGAAATAGCTGAAACAATTATTTCCAAAAAAAAAAAAAACCCTTCAAAGTTGGGATCACTTTGGAAAAGAAGATTTAGAAAGACAATGGAAAACTTAAATAAAACCTTTCTAGACTTGGATATGAACATCTCAAGAAGGCCCACAACTATACAAGGCATTAGAGAACAGCAGTCTTCTTTTATAGGAGCTCACATGCCTTGGAATTCTCTTCCTCAAGAGGAAATAAGATCATGAGATAGTTATTACTGTACTGTAGTCAGTGCTTTTTTTGTGTAAAAAAAAGGTGCCGGAACTCACACACGTCATATAACCCACCTTGCCTATCCTACAAGGTTCCATCCAAAAAAGGTGCCGGAACTCCGTTCTGGGTGTTCTATGAGAAAAAAAGCCCTGACTGTAGTTATTTTTCCTCTTCATCTGTTGTACACTTCACTATAAGAGCATATACCTGTTCTCATGCCTGATTCAGGTA